AACCGTTTGCTGTCACAGCTACAAAAAATTCACAACAAGCGTGTGAAAAATACTCCATTACTGAATTTTTGTGAGTATATCTTTGAATTATATTAACTTTAAGTTGTAACCTTATTTTTCGATTGTAATTAACTAAGCCTAAGAGTAGGACTAACAACAGTGCTATTACTATACTAAGCCATCATTACAGCCACAACAAAAAGTTTGAATTAAGTGTCCTCTATGGTACTCTCAAAGAAAAATTATATTTTAATGTCTAAAATAAAATAAAGTATATTATTGTTTCCGTTATAAAAGTAGAGGTATTTAAATCCAAATTGTTGCAAGTATTCAACACTTGATAATTAGAATACTTTATGGAAATTACTTGCCAATTAAAACAACTTCAATCCATAGCAGTTATTTCACTTTTCTTTTTGGTGAGTGATAAAAACAACAACAATAGATTTAAAACGAAAATTAAATTTTGAATTTATAGACAAATTTGAACCTCAGGAATCAGCAGTAATTTTACAAACTTATAATACTAAAATCTGGGGTTCGATTCCCTGCTGTAGACAGAGTGCAGATGACCCCCTTGTGTAGCTTTGCACTATGAAAAGAACAACAGAGAAATTTTAGGAAAGGATATGACTCAATTGTTTTTTTTATTATTATTAAAATGTTTAGAAAATAAAACTAAATAACGTGTTTTTTTCTTCATAAATTGCATGGTTGCTTTCAAAATTTAGAGTTCATACTGGAGGGACTTATACATTTTGATAATGAGGCTAGAGAAAAACGACCTTTAGTTATCTTATAATTATCTAGAGTGAAAGGTTGTGTTACGTCTCCGTTTGTTAATTAACTTTCCGTAACTTAGTTCCGACGAAACTTTAGCGGCACAAGTCCTTACTTAATAAAACTGGTTTATTCTTTCCGAATACAACTTTACGATACACTTATTTTCAACAATCACGCTAAAACAAACGCTATAACGAACGTTAACTTCAACAATACGTCTCTCTCTGACTGCAGTTCAATTACTCATTAGGTACACACACATTATTGCGTCACGTTGTCACCCTCTTATATATATACCAGACTACCCTATCTAGTAAATGCTAGGGCATTCATGAAGGAACAAGATAGTTCTAGAAACTAGTCATGTGACTTCGCTGACGCAACAGTTGTTTTTCTCTAACTATATTATCAAAATGCATAGTTGCTTGGGTACATTATATTTCTGAAAAAAAAAACTCAAATGACGGAGATTTTAATAAAAGAGACCAACTATAATAAAAAAAAAGGTGAAATATTCAAGTTTTTCAAAGAAAACAAGCCTTTACTAAGGAACAAACATGCACGTCTAGCAAATCGATTTTTCTTACAATAATGATTTAGTCATTAATAGAAATCATCAATCCCCACATTGTATAAATTGTAGATGGCCGACATAAATTTCTCATATATGTATTTTTGTGTTAATGGCAAGTCTGTTAAGGCTGTCCGCTGCTGTCTAATTTTGAGCTCGGTACTAAACAGAAGAAGGGGTAAGTCTACGGATTTACAACACTAGGATCAGGGTTCGATTCCCCTCGGTGGACACAGCAGATAGTCTAATGTGGCTTTGCTATAACAAAAAAACACGCACACAGAAGGAGGGCAGTTAGCGAGCAGTAGTCTATTGTCCAAGCTAATATATTGAGTATTACTCTTATAATACATCCACAACTTAAAATGCAGAGAATAGTTTGTGGTATCGCATGGATTGAAACCTGTCTCACCAGCTCCAAAATTCCATCACAGGGCCAACTCGCGTCCCCGGTCGTGACCCGGGTGTGATTCTTGTGCTACATACAATTCCTGACAGTCCTACCAAATTGAAGAAATGTACAGAAGGACACTAACTCCATTTTACAACATTTCAAAACCGAATTAGCAAAAGCTAGAATTACACCTCTCTCTGCATCATCTCAAGAATTTCAACATCAAACGTCGGCTCACTGCATGAAAAATTATCTCTTGATATCGACAAAGTGTGAACAAAAAACCAACATTTATCTACCTTCCGCCACGTTTTTATACTCATTTTGCAAATACAAAAAGTCTAAAAGATAATATTTTCATATACCTTTTGGTGTTTCAAAATACTCAAGTGGCCCACTTGTGTTTGCACTAAAAGGTATTCAAAATGTAAACTTGTCAACCATCAAAATGCGAAAAAAATTAATCATTCATACATTATAAACAGATGATCTGCTTATGTCTAAAAAAAATGCAAACAAGCAACAAAAGGTAAAATGTTAGTGTCCAAAATATGCAGTCAGGTAGCAAAAGGTCAACTGTGAGTTTCCAAAAGATGAAAACCTTTAACAAAAAAGTACAAATTTGGTGTCCAGAAGTTGCAAGCATCATGAAACAAAAGATCAATTGTGGGTATCCAAAAGACTCAAAGATATTTACAAAAGGTAAAATGTTAGTGTCCAAAAGATGCAAACAGGTTTACAAAAGGTAAAATGTTAGTGTCCAAAAGATGCAAACAAGTAATGAAAGGTAAAATGTGGTTTTCCAAAAGATGCAAACGGGTAACAAAATGTCAAATTCTAGTGTCCAAATAATGCAAACAGGTAACAAAAAGTAAAATGTTAGTGTCCAAAGGATGAAACAAGTAAAAAATAAAATGTTGGTGTCCAAAAAATTCAAACAAGTAACAAAAAGTTACAAAACAATTTATCAAAGAACAAAAGGTTAATTGTGGGTATCCAAAAGATGCAAACAGGTTTACAAAAGGTAAAATGTTAGTGTGCAAAAGATGAAACGGGTAAAAATAGAATTTTGGTATCCAAAAGATGCAAACAAGTAACAAAACGTTAACTGTGGGTATCTAAAAGATCTAAACAGTTTATAAAAGGTAAAATTTTAGTGTCCAAAAAATGCAAACAGAAAAAAATAGGTCAAATGCTGATATCTAAAAGATTCAAACAGGTAACAAAAAGTCAAATGCTGGTGTCTAAAGGATACAAATACGTAACAAAAGCTTTACTTATGGAGACAAAATCACAAGTTAACACCAATACTCAATAAAATGACAAATGAACACCAAGACTCGAGTGTTTATTTTTTGACAATTATATTTCACAGATCATTCATAATATCACGTGCGTAAATTTAAAAACTTTTTGTTTTTAACCGTATGTATTTATTTATGATTTTAAACAAGTGCTCAAGAAAAATTGTATTACAATTCAAGTTGTATATGGGCTTTTTGGACTTGTTTAGTCGACTTGTCACTTTTTTTTTTTATCCACTGAAGATACTCCGAAATCTATGGTGGTTCCTTTAGTCTTTCTTCATCTACAATCGTTCCTGCACACACACACACACACACACACACTTTTGACCTAATTCACCGACAGTTAAAATCATCATAATATAACAAATCAAATGATACCTTATGTTATATACGCTGCAAACATAATCTGTATTCTGCCATGTGACCTACTTTCAAAATTACTAGGTCACATTGACAAATTTTTGTTACTGTGTTTTCATGGTAAGACTTCTAAAAGTCCAACCTTAAAAAATTAACCATACCTGATACCAAATAAAAATGTATATAGATTCAATACATCATGACCAAATCTCAGATAGCATAGTTCCCATGTACTCAGTAAAGGACACTCCTAGGATCATGTGTACGAATTAAAAGTGTATAGAAAAAATTGCTGAAATATATTATATTTTCACTATACAAAAAATTGCAATAAATTTACTTAATTGTCTTTAGTTGTTTACAATAGCAAGAAAACGTAAAGTGAATCATATTCAATGTGTTTTCAGAAAAAGCACAACTGTATTTTTTAAAAACTATTATTTTTAAATATTTACATCTTATGTAATAATGTATGGTAACACAATTGAAAACTTTACAAAAGCAAAGTTATTAGGTATATGCTTTACTTCTTTTTACTAGTTGTTCGTACCGGTACAAGATGGAAATGCAATCTGTAATACAAAATTTTGCAACAGCAATGCTCGTCGGCATGCAACTAAATGCTAGTGAAAAACAAACAGCTCTTATAAAATTTCTTAAAATTAGTCAAATGCGTTAAATATTAATTAACCTACATGTCAAACAAACTATTAGAGCAAAAAGGTATAAATGATAGTGCACCAGAAACTGAGTTCCCTGGAATGGAGAGAGAGAAAAATTATGGAAGTTTTGGTAGAGCACAATGGGTTAAAAGAAAAAGCCAGAGTCATCGAAATGAATGTAAAATTATTGAAGATTGTACATACAAATGAAGCTGACAAGAAAAAGCTGAACTTCAGTTTGGTATGGCCTGATGGTTATGACGCTCGATTCACAATCTGCGTGTCGCGGTTTCGAATCGCCATCACACCGAATATACTCGTCCTTTGAGCCGTGGGAGCGTTAAATTGTGACGATCAATCCCACTATTTCGTTGGTAAAAGAGTAGCCCAAGAATTGGCAGTAGGTGTTGTTGACTAGCTGTCTTCCCTCTAGTCTATCATGCTAAATTAGGGACAGCTAGCGAGGGTAGCCCTCGTGTAGCTTTGCTCAAAATTCCAAACAAACCAAGCCAGTTTGGTACACGATATTCCTGTCTGTAAACTTCCCCATTTTGATCCTGTTAGATTAAGTCCAATTAACTCAATGCATAAT